TCTGTGTGGAGAGCTGTTTTCTTGGAAGATGAACTTTTGTCTGTGCATAGAAGAAAAGAAAATCCATCCATGCACACAACCTCTCTCCTTCTCTCTCTCATTTGCGTCATCATCAAACCCTACATTTTCACTGTCCCCTTTCTTCTCTCTCTCTCTATATTTCAAGTTTTTTCCTTTATATTTTATACTGTCTTTAACATTACTATGCCTTGGTTCTTTCATGTTCTTGAGCAGCGATCTTGTGCCCCAAAACAGCTACATTTCTCCTTCTCTTGAACCCCCCACCGTCACCGGATGATAATAGGTAGACTAGAAAAGGTTTTCAACTTTTGCTTCTGCTTAGGGCTCAGGCTGCTTTAGTATTTCTGTTACTTCTTCTTTCAACTAAAAATTCCTTTCTTTGGAGGTTTATTCTAATTCTTTTGTAAAACGTTTTCTTGGGTATAACCCAGATTGGAATCATTAATCGTCATTTTGAGAGCCTAATTTCCTCTTTAAACACCGAGAGGTTTTGGAGACATTTCGTTTGCCTTTTCCATTTAGGGTTTGTTTCTCAATTTCCTTTGTCAAGAACATGGCTCTCCCACAAAATTACTCATTCCACTGCTTCATTGTTGAATTCATAAGATACCCATTTCAATATTTCCACCATAATTTGCGGGGATGCAATTTGTAGGCCCGTATTAATTTTTTCTCTTTGGACCTCTTGCAAATATTAAGCGTGCGGTTCAAAATTTGCTCTCTTTAGCTCTCTGTTTGCTCATATGAAACATGGGTTGTGTTAATGGCAAGTGTTGTAGCAGGTACCCATCGTCAACAGATAGTGATTCAGGGGGATACGGTGAAATGGGTTCATGTAGGAATGCTACCAACAAGCATATACTTACACAAAGATCACTAGAGATTGTTCCTGTCCCTTCACAAAACTATGAATTGCAGTATTCTGTCTTAACACAGAGAGGTTACTATCCTGACTCGCCAGATAAGGAAAACCAGGATAGTTTCTGCATTAGAACCCAAATTCAAGGTAACCCAAATGTACATTTCTTTGGGGTGTTTGATGGGCATGGTCATTTTGGTACTGAATGTTCCAGGTTTGTTAAGAATAGGTTAGCTGAGATATTAGCAAATGATCCCACGTTGTTGGATGACCCTGTTAAAGCTTATAATTCAGCATTCTTAATGACAAACTATGAGTTACATAGTAGTGAGATTGATGATTCAATGAGTGGTACAACAGCAATAACAGTTCTTGTTATTGGAGATGCAATTTATGTTGCTAATGTAGGTGATTCGAGAGCAGTGATTGCTGTTAAGAATGGGAATAGGATTGTAGCAGAGAATTTGTCTAGTGATCAAACACCGTTTAGGAAAGACGAGTATGAAAGAGTTAAGCTTTGTGGTGCTAGGGTACTGAGTGTTGATCAAGTGGAAGGACTTAAGGATCCAGATATACAAGCGTGGGGTGATGAGGAAAGTCAAGGGGGTGATCCTCCAAGATTGTGGGTGCAAAACGGGATGTATCCAGGAACAGCATTTACAAGGAGTGTAGGGGATAGTACAGCTGAGAAAATTGGTGTTATTTCTGTTCCAGAGGTGTCTATGGTTCGCCTTACTCCTAATCATTTGTTTTTTGTTGTTGCGAGTGATGGAGTTTTTGAGTTCCTTTCCAGCCAAACTGTTGTAGATATGGTATGGCATTATGACCCCTTTGTATTTCTCTTTTCCATGTGTTGCATTTATGATTTAGTGGTTACTTTTTGATTGCCTTTGTATAGTTAGGCCTCTGATTGCTCGCTGCTTTTGGTTGTCTGGTAATAACGATAGGTTTGTTTTTTCATGAAAGTTCATAATTGCATGGAAAGAAGAAGTGCAATGTAAACGAAGGTGTACATATATTTATGTCAGTATTAACTATCAAGTTTGATTTGCAGCCAGACTTTCTGATTTGATTTAGGAAAGAGTGCCTTCGTATCAAAGAAATTAATCAAAATAGACTAAACGAATCTGCCTTTTTTTATTTTCATTAAAATTCATTGAAATACAGTCATGAAAATAGCATTTCTTCACAAGTTTTTTCTCAGAACTATTGATAGACATGTGTTTGGAATTGCCCCTCACTGCAGTGCCAAATAAGGGTTGATTGGCCTAGTTTATCAAACCATGCCATCATGTGTTGCTATAGATGAATTATTAGTAACATTTCTAAGTTGCTCGTGGGTAAATTTAATCTACTAGAATGTTCTTTTCCACTAGAAATTGCAAAGCAGTTATATTGAGACATGGTTAGACACTTGATTGGAGCTGAAAATTACTGTATTTATTTAATAACTTCTTGAAATGATAAAGAAGCATGTGGATGTTAACTGCATGTTCTACTAAAATGTGTAATCTTCTTAAAAATGAGCTGTATTCATTTTTATTTTTTTCCTTTCATTGAAATTAAATTCAGCAACGGAGAAATGATTTCTTGATAAGGTAAAAGCATAGCTATTGCTAAGTTTGAGAATTTTTAAAACAAGCAACCAAAATTTAATTAATTGTTATATAAAATTCTATTGCAAGTAACTGGACTTAATGTGATGTTCTTTGTTGTGAAAGTGAAAAAATAGCATGCCACTTGCTGTAAGCCACTGGGGGTGGTATGTGCCTGTATGTTGATTCACTATCATCTTTTGGCATAAATTTGATGTCCACTGAAATCATGTCAAAAATCAATTCATACCATTGAAAAAAGAGGGGGGATTTATGGGATTCCATCAGAGTTTTGAAGATCATCACTTTCTTCCATGAGGGAATTCTATTCAAGTTGTTTGTGGACATTTTTATCTCTGTTTTTCGTTCCTCTCATTTCTGTTGTTCCTCTCCTTAGTAATTTTACAGTCTTTCTATTGATAGGTGGCAAGATACACAGATTCCCGAGATGCTTGTGCAGCCATTGCTGGGGAGTCATACAAAATATGGTTGGAACATGAAAACAGGACAGATGATATTACGATCATTATTGTTCACATCAAGGGCTTATCTAATGTGAGTGTGATTAGAAAAAAAAAAAACAATCCTCTGGCTTTGCAGTTTTCAATGCATACATCTTTTTCCAATGCTCTAGGTCGAATCTCATGTTTTCATTTTATATTAATCTCTATTAGTGTTAGTGTTGGTATTTTGTACTTGAGAGATTTGTCTTTATATTGGAAACATTCAGTTTTGAAGAATAAGCTCTGTACCACCTGAAAATGCAACTTATTGTGTTTGGGGTGTACTGTTGATGTGTTTGGGTTAAGATTTAATAATTGGTGCTGTGCTTGTCTTTTGGTAAATTTAAACAAATAAGCCTTGGAATCTTGGTAATGTTATATCTGGGCCTCTCATAGATCTCAAAGTTGCAGTTGAATTATTTTTACAAGGCACCTGTCACTGGCTGATGATTTCCTGATCTCTATTCTTATCGATACAGTCAGGTTCTGGTGACACAGATGGAACCACTGGAGCTAATAGGAATCCCACAAGTTCAAGGACAGGAAGAGGATCTTCTGACAGCTCTGCTGCCTCTGGATCAGAAATATACCGTTCAATAAGAAGTGAATTCACAGATCTGCAACTTTCCATGAATCGAAGCCCGGCTATTGTTGTTCCATCTCCATCTCAGCCCTGGGAATTGGTGGGTCTCCTGATCAGCTTATGCTATTGAGTCGTATCTATATTATTGACTTGGTGATGTTTCTTTGTTTACAATAATAATCCAATCAAATTGCTTCCAAAAAGCGGCTTCACATTCATTTCATTTTTATGTAGTTTTATTTGTTTCATACATTCGATGCAGTGCATGTTTCCTCTTTTGCCTCAAATTTGGTTTTAAAGAATCTATTCCCTTGAAGTCTCAATAATCTTTCTTTTGGCTTGTGTAGGATGGGGGTTAGTGGCGCCTTCTGCCAAAATTGAAGGCAACTTTTTCTGCATGCTCAAAGATCTCCAGGCTGCAAGCTATTGCTAATGTTACTAAAACACTGTTACTAATTACACACGACTTTGCGAGGTAAAAAATACTCTCCACTTTTTTGTAGCTTTGCCCCCGGTAATCCAAGCTTAAAGGGAGTTGGAAATACAAGATTCCGGGATGTTCAGAACTGATAACTCGTCTCAAGAAAGCAAAAATTTCATTAGGTTTCTGGCTTGTTTTCTGGATGTCAGTGGTAAACTCAACGCCTCAACCTCCTGCAATTTTGATTTTCTGGATGTCAATTGTAACCCACACCTACTCGATATCTCTGTGAACAGTAGACTTATAAAGATAATGAAGTAAATTGTATAATGCACTTACTCCATGATGTCTTTATCGTTATTGCATCTACTGTGTGTTTGATTCGTATGGTTCATGCTGACATGCAATAAACAGATCCGGTGAAATCTTGTTCTCAACAGACATCGGTCAATTATTTGAATGATTTAATGTTGTCACTGTGTTGAAGGTCCTGCAATGACATTGGATTAGCTGCAGATCCATTAATGTTCCGAGGTAAGGGGTTGTTTTCGTAGGGTTTGACCTCGTGCTTGTGTCATTGTTTCTTCAGTAAGTGACAAGGGTTTGAAGCCCATATTGGTCCCCGCGCCTTAACCTTTTGGAGAAAGAATGGATTGATGTTGGCATGCCATTGCTGGAGCTTGAGGTAGTGGGTGGCAACGAATCACTTGATGGCAACTTGTTCTTAATTGTGCATGATTGTGCATGCCTGGTTTATCGGTTGAGCTAACAAATCACAATAACGTAGGAAAAAGAAAATGAAAGGTAATTTTGCCATCTGATGGTCCCTGGCAATCCAGGAACAAAAGTGGCGGAGAGTGGACGGGGTTTTCAGATTTAAAACTGACATTGGTGAGGAAAGAATGAGCCAAAAAGAAACGAAGTCCAAATCCAAAATGGCAAAACAGAACTCTTGCATAAGTAGCTGGAAGAGTTTAAATAACAAAAAGGCGTTTGTCGTGATAGAAAATGAAAGGTGAGTTACTAAATGTTAGTCTTGTATTTAGAACAAGTTCAAATATTGCAAAACCTTTCTTTTTTCCTGTCAAAGAGGAAAACAACACATATCGTCACAAGTGCAATTGAGCAGTTAAACAGAGCTCTTCACTACTATCTACTACTATCTTTCACAAATACACGGCAATTCGCAAGTATAGTACAGAACTAGGGATACAAGACCCTCCCCTCCTTTTAAAATCAAGGATATGTTCAGGGAAACCAAATTCGTTGCCTAATATCAGAAATAAACGGAAAGCTTCTCACCTATTGAATTTTGCACTACGTTACACTGCTCCAACAACTTGCTTAATTTGTCAGCTTCTTTGGTTACTTTCCTGGAAAACACAACCTCAGCACTACCAGTAGTGTTTAATTGATTACTTACAGGATCAATGTTCTCTGTCTCACACAAATTGCCATTTTGTGCTGAAGTTCTTTGGTTATCCACCAAGTCACTCGTGTTAGTGTCCTTACAAACATCACCATTTGAAATTGTCCTTGGTAGAGGCTGAAAAGTTTGTGTGTGTCCTTGATACCTTCCTGACATAAAGAGGCTGCAGCCAGCATCAATTACTTCATCAAGGGTAGGTTCAATTAGATAAGGTAAAGATCTCCCTCCTTCAAGCTGCAGCTCATAGGGAATTCTTGAAGCTGCATCAACATCATGACATCTTAAAATGAAGGCTGACGAGAAAGCTCCACTGGATAAACTCGTTAATCGCCAATTAAAAATCCGTCTAAAAATCATAATCCACTTGGGAACTATATAGTAGCTTGAGTCATGAAGCTCAAGTCGAGCACTTCTTTGTAGCATTACATATGCCTCTTTTGAAGCTAAAAGAATACCCATCATCCCACTTAACTCAGTCAGGTATGTCACAAAGCAATTCTCAAGCTGAGATCTCAGGTCTTCAATCTCATTGAACGTATTTGCACCTTTATTCAACCAAGGTATGGTATCAGGAAAATTAGGAAGTTTACAGTCCCTTATTGCACTTAAAAAGGGTTCAATTCTTTCTGCCAAGCTCCAACCTATGCTTGGCAAGTACCAGTTCATCACCAATAGCTCATCGCAGCAATTCTCCAGCAAGGCAATCTCAGGACAAGGCCAATTGGTAGGATTTGATTTGGCAGCAGCAGCAATTTCTCCCAGAGACCAATCCAAGGCTTCATTGAAGGCTGAGATACAATGGTTTGGACTTACCTCATTATCCCTCATGTTTTCAAGGACATCCAACAAAGGATTTAAATGGGTTAGAACCAAATCCCGTGTTTTTACACAGTGAACATCAGGTTGTCTTGGTGATTCATTTGCCAACCACCGTAGTCCTTCCCTTAATCGCATGTCACTGAAAAATCCATCCCACATTTCCACTTGTTTGTCTTCAGTAAGGAAAACAATTGAAAAACTACTAATCTGTGATTTGTCAATATCCAGAAGGCCCAGTTCATTGACTATAATAGAAGAAAGATCCGCATCCTCTTCATAATTTGAACCACTTAAGACAAGAAGGGGCAATTTGGAACCGGAAGGGATGTATGCTAGAAGTTTACGAAGTTGGATTTTTTGAATATTCCATGGGATGCTTTCAGATACAAGGAAGATAACCGCACTTGCTCCATCTACTTCTCCATCTACTTTCTCATTCAAATTGTCAAATTTAAAATCCTTAACAACTGCCAGGCAGCAGTTTACGTGATTACCAGATTGACTTGGAAGCCATTTTCTCCATATTGCCAGGCCAGGAGATGAAATAAGCAGATCACAATCATCATTATCTTTTGCAGAAGGCATGAGCTTTGAAAACACCCATGAGTCAGCTGCCCCTTGCATAACCTGGCATCTCTGCCCAAGTCTGTCTCCCTGGTTGTTGATCTGAGAACATAAAATAATTTTCCAGCAGAGACATTTGGCATCTGGGTATCTTCTGATAAGAACATCTGCGATCTCATCTGAAACATTCAGCCTTGACCATGATTGTTCATGTTTTTCATACCTCTCCCTCATGACATGATTGATGTCAAATACAGTAGCAGTGATAGATTGCTACATTGGAAGAAAAGGAGAGTAAAAAAAAAATAGAAATCACCCAAAAGAGATTGCTTGCAGGTGATAAACCATTAAACAGGATAATAGAGGGAAAGTTTTCTGACTATATTATTGAATAAATCGCCATAAAGAAATTCAATTTGAGATGCATAAAAGGAAGTGGTATATAAAAATGAAATATATGAAATGAAAAACTCACATCTCTGGCCTGTCGAATTGGTGGTCCCAATGACAACGAACTTAGTGCAGCATTTGCTGCCATTTGCCTTTGCTCACGCAACTCCCTTCGCTTTAAAGATCGCCGCCTCCATAACCTGGTTGGAGACAAATGCAACAACAGTAAGAATGCAGTGGACAAACCCCAAAATTACAGCTAAACAGCTGAACATGTGACCGACCTTAGAATCAACTTAAGTTTTGCCTGAGCAATTTCTTCATCTTCATTACTTTCCATAACCTCATCATTTTCACTTGCTTGATTTATATCAAAAGGTTCTTCATCTCTTGATTCATTAATAGCCACAATCTGGGAAGTTGAGTTCTCCCAGTTATAACCATATTTTTCACTCGGGGATCTCTCTAGCAAACCTGTTCTTGACATAATTGGTAACGACATTTCTTCCATGCTAGAAGGCATCTTTCTCTTAGGAGAGACTATGAAAAGAGCATCGTGGTTTGGCTTCTCCACAATTCCAAGCTTAGCTGGCAGAGCTTCAGGGGAGCTATGAGCCCAGGATTCACCCCATGGAAAGATATAGGCACTAGCTCCCTGATGATCATCTTGACTCATTTGGTTAACCAAAGGCTCTTCGTTCATTGGATCCACCTGTGCTCCAATACTTGGGGATGCAACAACTTCAAAGTCAGGAATTTCTTCATCAATTTCACTGGCAAAACTCTTTGCATCCACAAAAGCAGAAGGAACAGCCTTTGTTTCACGCTTGTAGATCATAAGAGGCTGTATCTCTTTAGCTGCTGCATCAGGCAATGTTACCCTCTGAGAAGGTGGTGAAACATCATCAACAATCCTTTTTGATTTTTTCATATGAACAAGGTTTGAGCACTTGATTGGGTAATCCTTGTCAGCATTGAGAAACAGGCCATCCTTCACCATATATGGTTCTTCAAATTCCCTTATGGCAAAGCCATGATACTCCAGAAGTTTTTCTACTTCCTGATTCCAATCATCCAAGTACAAATGGAAGACAGATAGGATCTTCATGTGCAAAGAATAAACAAAAGAAAGTAACTCTCATCAAGTGAAGGAAAAAAGATACCTCCATTGCAAGCCACTTGGCAATAAGGCCAACAGGGAGACCTTGGTTATTTTGTAGACCAGAATGCAAAGAAGCAAGTGCCTGGGTTCGTAACTGACCAAAAAAACATAACACATGAGACAACATTATGAAAAAACACATCCGTGTTATGTGCAATCATGCTCATGCAAATGAATCTGAAATTCAAGCAGTATAAGAGGTGAATGCTTTTATTAACACCCAAACGACACTTAAATGACCAACCCTATGCAAGTGTTATCCTCTTGAGAGTCATCTCATGAAGGTTATAGGTAATCAATCGATTATAGCAGTTAGACTTAGATAAAGTGTGTTTTTTTGCATTCAGAAAGTGCTTTTGAAAAAAATTTAATTTTTGCTTTGCTTCAAATTATTATTATTATTATTATTATTATTATTATTATTATTATTATTATTTTGGATCATTTTGATGTGCTAATATCAAAAATGAATTTTAAAAAATGGAAAAAAATTATTTTGATGTATTTTCAAGCAAGAAACACTTTGAACAACAACTGATACCACAATCCCAAACACTATCGTAAACTAATATCTCAACATATTTTCTTCCTAGGAAATCTGGGTTTTTTTTTTCTCCCTTTTTCAGGAAGAAAACAAATAATGGGAACAAATAAAGAATACAAACAAGTGACATTTGGCAATAAGGAAAATGAGCACATTGAGCATAAGTCTCATGAATTAGCAACAATTTATTTGAAAAGAAAAGATTTTAAAATATGTACACATGTTTAAGTACATTGACAAAGCCAGCACTTACATCCAAATATACGAGTAGTTAACTCTACAGCACAACAGAACAGGAAAGATTGGTGTGTGTTATGTTAAAAACTAAATACCCTGTGGCTTATAAACAGATTTGCATTATGCAGTCAAGAAAGCCAATGTAAATCTCTACTCTTATGCGAAAACAAAAGGGAAAAAAAAAAGAAGCAACAATGACTTGTACCTTTGCAAAGTGAGCATGCATTAAGCATGCTTGAAGGTAACTTGCTTTCCTTGCAAGCCGAAAAAAGGCAATAAAGTTACCTGTTCTACAAGCCCTGGAGAAGCAAACTGATCCACTTATCAGAAGTATAATTCTTTAACCTAAAAACTAAATCAAGGGGAACTAACTACCTTGCTACATTACGAGCAAAAAGCACTTCTGGGGTTTGCCTTATCTCTGGTGTCATCTTTGCAAGATCCAGTGAGAGTTCTGCAGGTTCAACCTAGCAGAAATTGCTTATTTTCACAGAGAAGTCTATATAAATCTGTAAAACCAAGTCACCACTGCAGATGACTTACTTTATATCCAGGATGCTTATCTAGTTTGAGAAGTGCATAATAACCACGAAATTCTTTTTCTGTTGGCACATTAATCCCTTTCTTCCGGTGGTCATCATACATTTGAAAAAGTTCAACTGAAGTTTTGTTCATCTGTTCAATGTTAAGGTGCGCATCAAATCCCTCAATTGACCCCTCTCCTGTTTTGTATTTGCATAACTCATGCATGGCAATTATATGAAGCCTTATCTGACATCCACAGCAATAGCAATACATTTAGTCTTGGGAAAAATAAGATCATTGCTGGCATTATCATCCAGCTGATGCACATTGCCCAATACACAAAACAGACTACAAATTGAAGCGGAGACACGGATGAATTAATATGGCAAAGATTAAAGGGTGAAATTGAGGAAACGGTAGATGCATGCCATTCAATTTTAAGGTGGTGCTGACAGCCAGAAAATGATATACCAAACCATCTTCTGAAAAAATAATGCATTGCTTCTGTGCATGTGTGTGTTTGCAAGACAGAGAATGTGTTTGTGTCTATATCCTCGCACTTGAAATAATACAGATTGAAAAGAGAATGCAAAGAGACAAGCTCATCATTTCTGCAAGAGAGATCTGAGGGATAGAGTCACTAGACCATGATCATGTAAAGGATCATTCCCCTTAATAATGATACTCTTACATCAAATGTAGGATCACTATGAAGAAACTAATATTAATTCAAAGAAAAAGTCATTTGCTGGATGTAACTCCCATCATAATTCCATGCTAAAAAAATATACATATAACAAGTGCTGATTTCCATCCTCCAGTATGGAACTGGGAAAATTTACCAAATCAAGTTGCAAGAATTAAGCATCATCCACAGTTGACGCTTTTGTTTCTTCAGAAGATGAAGTGCTAAATAATTTCAATACTGAGAAAAAAAAGAGAACAATGACAAACCATTTGCTCCAGCATAGTTATAGACTCTTGGCTAAAAATGTGCTGCATCCTGAGGTCCATTCGGATTGCTCGCATCCTATCCCATAAGAAGTTATACATGCCAAGAAAGTTATCATCATAAGGCCGATCGAGCAAATTGATCAAATAATCAATAGTCTTCTGCAGGATTGGCAAGGGACGTATGAAGTTTGCTTCCCTCTCTGCCATCCTATTATACTGTGGAACACAATTATCATAATTAATCTATAAATAATGAGCCAACAAAAAGTAGCTTCTGAAATGCTGCAAATAGACAAATTAAAAGTTGAGATAGGACTACCTTCTTAACAGCAAGAAATTTGTTGGTTTGATTTCTCTCTCCATCCAAGCGCTCATAATGGTCAAGATCCCCTTTCCTTTCTCTTTCTGCCCTTTCTGACTCTGGAAAATCAAGATTTTATGCCACATCAAAAGCACGGAAATTTCAGATGCTCTCATAAAACAGAAGCCAGATAACTTGTTCCAGATGACAGGAGATTAAATGACAGAAAAAATTTAGTATGAGATATAAACAACTTTTTTTAATTGTCAGAATTGAAGTTTCTCCTCACCAGGAAATGATGAAGAAACCTAAACAGTGTGAAGACTGAATTACGGCAAAGAAAAATAATCTCATGACGTAAGAGGTTGCATCTGAATGTCATAATATTAACAAGATTACTCCTAAGTCAAGCAGTTAAGAGGGATACCAGGACACATATCCGGACATAACCCAACAATAATGGTGGGTGTTTCGGACCCATCAAACTCTGGTGAAATATTGCTGTTGCTTAAATCCCCTGCTGATTCAATAGAGTGACCACCATAAAAATTTTGCCTTCCAATGACAGCCTGCTCACGTCCACTTGCAGAAATCTTCTGGTCAGCAGCATCTCGGCTATTTTCAAAATCATCACTTAATTCTGCCTTGAATCGAGCTAACCGCTTTGCCTTTGCTTGTATCTCTCTGAAAAGTGCATGTGACAAGAATTGTTCAGCTAGATTGATGATGGATGAAATAGTTTTAACCATTAATGGAAATCAATGCACTGAGTTTTACCTTTCTGCATCATCTTGGGTGGAATATGAGTTTTCCAGAGAGACTTTATCAGCTAAAGGGAAGGGTGATGATCTTGTTCTTTTTGACATAGCAAAGCTGGTGGTCTTGGTGGGAGCGGCATCAACAGTAGCATTTACAGACGGAAAATTCCTTTGAGGAATTTGAGAATTTGAGGTGCTGAAAATAGCATTTGACCTACTACCTAACCTAGGAGGAGACACAGAAGTCCTGGCAAAGGAGGCGCACAATCAGCTTATAGAGGTGTGGAAAGGAGAAAGATACGACTAACAGCCAGTGAGAAGAGAGAGCTTGATGCATCCATGAGTGAAAATCAGTTTCCTATTTAATCACTACATAGATCATTAGATTGGCATTTGCAACATTGATAAACTTGCTGAATATCTAAAGTTTGTCTAGCAAAGTGTCTACTTTAAGTACAAAAGAATAGCAAGATTATATCATTATCTTACCCACTACACTCTTGAATTCCTGAAGTTATTAAAAGCTGTCGTTTCTCATATGAAAATGCTGGCAGAAAACAGTGGTCAAGAAAAAAGCATGATATTGCTTTGTCATTCTAAAGTTTCTTACATTTAAATTCGAAGTAGTATTCAAAAGCACACTTGAGGTTCACAAATAGAAGAATCAACAGACAGATTCTAACTCAAAAATCCAACTCCAAGCAGCTCTCTCAATACTGCTACCAGATATACGGTCCTAGGAAAACTGATGTGAACTATTACATTTGTGAATCACCTTTTATATTCCTTTTGAACAGGAAGATTGTTATTATGTGGAACTTCAGTAGCTGGTAAAACAGGCGGTGACCTAGTTCTCTTTGAGGCATGGATAGAATCGTGAGAGCCTGCATAAGATAGGGTTGACGGGTCTTGGTGAGCCAGCAAGTCAGGGTAATTTCCTGGCAACTTGGGCTGATCATCCCATGCAGATGGAGGCAAAGTAGGCCTGTACAACAATTAACTGAATCACTTTCAAAGAGATAACTCGAGGAAAGTCAGCAATACAGTACATAAAAACCTATTGTCATGTGTCCTACACCAACCAAGAAGGCACAACCATGCATATCAATGAAGCAGCTGGCTGTAACAATATCAAGATATGATCTTTATAATAGTTCACCAATAATGAGCATCCATAAAAGACATAAAGGATGCATCCAAACCTAAAAACAAAAACATAGTTTTGATAAACAAGCACCATCTAAGCATGAGTCACGAGATGAGCGATTAAATTCGTTTCTGACATCGCCTAGTATTTTTTTCATGATTTTCTTGATAATGCACCCGTGACCATCCATGCTACCAACACAATCACCTACATACACGTGCACACAACACAAGAATTCAAACTTACTGTTGGCCTTGGCCAAAAGGACGACTAGCATGCTTAGCTGTTTTATTGCTTTCAAAAGCCAAAGGAGGTGATCTTGTTCTTGGTGGTACCGAGTGATTCCCACTGCCAGCATGAAAATCTGAAGGGCTACCATATCAAGCAACGAAGAAAAGTCAGAAGTCTCCCAATAAGCTTGCAACATACTTCTTAAAAAAGACATGAATCTGTCCAAACCAATTAAAAAAATATATTGAAATACAACTAATGATAACTGAGGAAGATCACAAAAGCAAAACAACAGATCTAGAATTTTATAGAAAGTGAGAAAAAGGAGACATGAGTAAAAGGGTACAATCTTTCCCAAAAAAACAGAGAATGAAATGTGATTTCAATTAAAATACAAAATTAAAAAGTGACGACACAAGCATCCCTTTATACTGCAGCCATTTGTAGCGAGATAATGTCTCCCACTCTCCCTTTCTAAAATGGAGAAGTCAAGGTTCCATCCCATGTCATGAGCCTGAAGCTTGGAAATTCAGCTGAGCACTACCCCCATGCTCTAACCCACCTTTTCCATTTGACCAATGCAAAAGTAACTGGAGATAAAATCTGTAGAACCAAGGAGATGCCTCCAAGCTCCCAGATTAGAGACAATTCTGAATGTGGAACTTCCAAATAAGCACAATGGGTGTAAACTTCAGTAAAGCACTATGACAACTAATAACAGTTCTAGGAATACTCATGAAATGAAATGGAAAACCAAAGTGACATAATGGGAAATTGTCAAATAAAACCTGGTGCAAATTCCAAAGTATTAATCCGTTAATTGGATTTGCCTAGAGAATGCTTATGTAAAAATAAAAGAAAAACAAGAACACCTTACCTTGGAATGAAATTTTGAGTGGGATTTCTCGCAATGCCTTCATCAATAGAATGTGGCGGAGGTGATCTGGCCCTCTTCAGGTCCTGAAATCTAGCACCTTTAGCAGTTACACTAGTTCCAGAATTACGTGAAGCAACAAGTGACGCGACTGCAGAAGCATCATTAAACAAGGATCCTTGCTCATTGACCCATCTAGAAGGAGGAAACTGATTGAACGAGGGCTCACTGGATGGGTGAGAAGGGGTTGTAGTCGGACGGGATGGAGGCGACCGTGATCTTTCAACAGCTTCCGGCCTCCTATTACCAAAACAAAATCCACTAATAAGAAATAAAAAATGCAACGCTTTCTTTCTTCTTTTTCCCTCTGGACATATATTGGGAAAATGAGGAAAAAGAGTAGAGTTTTTATAACCTGAGGATCCCGGTTGATTGGTAAGGAGTGGTAGCAAGAAAAGGGTCTTGATAAGTTATCGGCGGTGACCGCACAGCTTCCGAAACCCTATGATTAAAATAACAATAATTTCATAACTGTCTCTAACCACCAAAGGATCACGTAGGGCACAGAACTTTAAGCTGAGCAGAGATTTTACGAAGTTGAGTGAAATTGAAATTGATCAGCATTAATGAGTTGAAATAAATAATAATAGAAAAGGCACGAGAGTACCTGGGAGGAAAATGGGGAAAAGGAGGCTGAGGAGGACCAAAAGGAGATTCGGATAATGAAGATTGGGTTGGTCCTGCTTTCTTTCCAAACCCTGAAGACATTATCTTTTCTTCCTTCTTTCAACTAACCAAGAGCATCTGTCTGTCTATCTTTTTTATTTTATGACGGTGATCACAGCAACTCCGCTCGGTTTGGAAACTGATACTCCGCCGTGGACTGGCCGTCTTTTATTTGAATTCAGTGGAGGAGGTACTCATTGCTCGGCTTCTCGGATTTTAAACTGGGATTAAAATGGCGTCATTCTTAATGTTATTTTTTTCGGAAAAAACTTGCTTTATGGGCCGGGTAGTGGGTTTGAGAATCTCTTTCATGGGCCGGACCCAAACCCATGAATGCCAAGATGGAATGGCTCAATAAAACAGTGTGCCTCCAACGTATGCAAAAGGTCCCGGTGCCTGAACTACAAGGGCAGTACCCTTCACCGATATCTTAACTGATCCTTGTATTTCTGGGTTTCCATCCAAAGATTTATACCAAACAAATTCAGAAAGTTTCCTGAAGCGGAGTTGGTGATTCTGAGTGCTGGGTTTGTGGTATCAAGTTTGAAGAAGAGTGTGAAGTTAAGGAACACTTACTGGTGAGAAAATAACCGATTCATGAAGAGTGAGTGAATGGCCGGAAGATAACAGCAGTAATGCTCTAGTGAATGCTGTGACGATGATGTTGAAGAAGAGGTAGGGGCTAGACACGAGCGATATGCAGTTGTGGAACGCCACTTTACAAATACACTACCAGATTCAACTCTGGCTGTGGTTGGCCTGCTTTCCATGAAGGTTTCCATAAATCCACTACCAAATTTTACGTTGTTGAAAAATGCCTTACTTTTGGGCAATTCTTGTATACGTTCGATTTATTTAAAAAGGAACGGTGACTTTCAGCCCGACCCTGATGGGAGGAGGACTGAGATCACAAACTCAGCTTGTGGGGGGCATCTGATCTGGGTCACGTTTTCAAGGGCGAGGTTACGAGACTCCAACTGACAAACGCCATTGTGTCAACAACATCTCAATCAAGTTTGTTCCTGCTGATTAATCTCCTCTGTGCTGCCAATGAGGACTGTGGGATGGTAAGGGGTTGAAGCCTCCGACAGAAGAATACAGCTGTGACGAGCATTCTATCAAAATATTCTAGCTGATATGTCATGTGTCTCCTCGATGGAGCGAATAAGTCTTTCATGTACGCCAATAAATACCCTCTGCCTGCAAAACTAGTCAATAGGAGCCGCTAGCTTCTATAAGCACGATAATGGCGAGCTTTGAGTGATGTTGTGCTTACCAATTGTCATATGAATGCTGGTAAAATCGATGCATTTGCCTTTCTATTGTTAGTATTCGTCCTCCCGTTTTTTCTATTCAAGAGTAAATTTTCACTTGTGAAGAAGTCCTCAAAATATATCAGTCTAGTAACGGAAGTGGATAATCTTAACAATCTCATTTATTTTATACTTAATATTTGATAAATTAAAATGGTTTGTAATTAATATTTATAAAAAGTTTCTTTTTATGGAAATGAAAACTCTCTCATATTTAAATAATTATTTTTTTAAAAAAATAAAAAAATATTTTAAAAAAAAAGATGCTCTAAAAATATATATACTATAGTTTTGAAACTTGATCTGGCTCTGCAGATGGACCGGGGACCGGACCTAGCCTAGGGCTAGAACTAAGCAGGATTAAAGAAAAAATAGAAAAAAGAAAAAACTTGATGTGACCTTACGGGTTGACTTGACAAAACTCGGTCAAAAACTCAGTTGTAACCTATCGACTTTTTTTTTAGCTAAAATGACATCGTTTTGATTTTTTTTAAAAAAATCAACCCAGGAGACCTTGTGACCCGGTCAAAACTCAAAACTTGGACCGGGCAGACCATCACGTCAAGTCTAAAAACTATGATATATACAATAAATAATGAGGATTGTAAACCTTTCTTCTAAAAGTTCTATGATATATTTATAGCCCACAAGCCTTGTCATTTTATGAAGAAAAGGATCTGGAGTGTAATGATACATTGATAGCATTTAATGAAAAATAAATTTTCCTTACATCTATATTAATGTGTTGATGGGAATATAATGAGTCTTTGGAGAACTTTTATACACCAAAAGTGTAGAGAGATTAGGGTCTAATACATCATATATAACTAAGCTTATAGAGATTGAGTTCTTCCTCAAGGTTAAACTCAAGAGAGATTGGTCATTTCCTTGAACATGTCAAAGAAGGATGGTCATTTACTTGAGCATGCATATGGAAAAATAATCGTTACCTTAAACTTGGTTAACTGTCAAGTCTAAATACATCAAGTATGGCATGTTTGCTAGACTTATACTGTCTTAAACTTAACTAATTGTCAAGTCCAAGTACATTGGGTCTAACATGTTTTACCTCATTCTTTTAAACGTGCTATATTCTTTTAAACATGCTATGGAAGGATGTTATTCCTTTGAACGTGCTAAGAGAGGATGGTAGTTACTTTAGACTTTACTAACTATCAAGTGCCTTAGATTTTATATATTTTCTAAATTCACATTGTCTTGGACTTGGTTGACTACTAAATCCAAATACCTTAGGTCTGACATGTTTGTGAGACCCACATTACCTCATTCCCTTAGACGCGCCAAAAGAGGATGGTCATTCTCTTAGGTGTGCTAAGAGAAGATGGTTGTTACTTTAAATTTGGCAAGCTACCAAATTCAAATACCTTAGGCCTGACATGTTTACTAAACTCATATTATCTTTGACTTTGTTAACTATCTAGTCCAAGTATCTTAGGTATAACATATTTAACAAACCTCTTTTCCTTGGACCCACATTACCTTGGGTCATTCTCTTGGGTATAGCATATTTGGCTGACTACCAAGTCCAAATACTTTGAGTTTGACATGTTTGTTAGATCAACATTACCTCATTCCCTTGGACACACAAAAAGAGGATGGTCATTCTCTTAGATGTGATGGTTGTTACTTTAAATTTGACAAACTACCAAATTCAAATACCTTATGCCTAACATGTTTACTAAACTCATTATTTTTGGCTTTGTTAACTATCTAGTTCAAGTATCTTAGGTATAACATATTTAACAAACTCAGCATTACCTCATTCTCTTAGCTTACCAAAGAAAGATGGTCATTCCCAAGACATGCCCAAGCGACAATAGTCATTCCTTTAGACATGTCAGGGACTTGGTATATTGTTAAATCTAGTGTACCAAGACTTGGCATACTAGTAAACTCAATAGCATCTAAATCTAGCTAGCACCAGATCCAACGTGTTGAGGCTTGACATATTATCAAACTCAATAACATCTAGATTTAACTAGCATCAGATCCAGCATGCTCGGGTCTAGCATACCGCCCAACCCCAACTCACAGCATGTTCATTTCTTTAAACATGTCAAATGGAGTAGGGTCATAAAGATTTTTTACACCGTTGAAAATAGATTTATCAACTTGCATTGTTGATTTCTTATCCAAGTCCATCCTTGTACTGTATCGTAGAAGAATCCAACTAGCATGCAAACAACAGTATTGGATACAATGTGACAATCTTTTCACCGACCAGTGATCCAAGAGAAATTTTAAATTTAATTAGCAAGTTTTCAATAGAGATGAAAGAGCAGGCATTGCTTCGATTACCAAGGAGCATCTGCATCTCTAGTCTCGAAGCAACAAGGCCTTGCACGAGTCAATTTAGCTGTTAAATAATGTACAAAAGGGAAACAGAGAGTTCTGAATTACATAGTTGGATGCAGCCATTCAAATGTTCTTCTCTCTTTTGCATCATTAGAAATTTCAACCAACTTCGGCAATGCTTTTGATTCAATAAGAGCCAACAGCTCACCAATCCCTAAGATCACTATCAAGGAAGCATGCTGGTAATTGCAGTTTCTATGCTATAACTATCACAACAAAATCAAGTCTTAGAAACCCAACTTCACGAGGTCACTGCCAACATGCTAATTAGCAGAACTGGCTTCTACCCTATCTATTTCTCCTCTTCTTTTGCAAGCACACAGGCTGATAAGCATACTTCATATATGTGATTCCCAGGGCCTATATATTTCCGCTGCACAAAACTATTTCTCATCTCTTATTACCCTGTTTATTGGACACAATAACGTGTTTCATGAATTGTGATACAACTTTGAACAAAGAAAAGCAAACGCCCTAGTTCTTTTGAATAGCTCAAATGTTTACAGCAATCTATTGCATTACAAAAATTGCCAACCGGAGAATCTGAAATCAAGAATGCTGAAGTCAAGAGTTTATGTGAGCTGTCATTTAGTCACTGTATGGAAGCTTCTGAGTTACAGAAATCTCACTTCCCCGTGTCATTCTTCATCCTCTCATTACAAACCTTCAAAGCATGAACTTCTGTGAAGCATTTTAACAAGCACGTCATATGTACGCACTTCTTCAAAAGCAATGGTGCAGAATCAAGCAAAAAAATAAAATCATTGCATACCCTTTTGGCAGGACTTCCAGTTTCTGTTTGAATTAACAAGGCATTCCTGAGAATTATAAGAAAAAAAAAATGGGTTTATGCAAATCAGTGACTAATGGAAACTCCCTCGCTGGGTTCAAGGTTTTAGAACTTTTTTTATATATATAAAAAAAATAGTGGGATATAATACCTGTAGGGAGAGGTAGAGCGAGGAGCATTGTTTGAGTTGCTTAACGTTGTCATCGTCCTCGTCTGCATCGATCTGGTGAAGCGGTTGTTGTGGATTCGGGTGTGTTTGGTTTGGAGGCTCAGCCATTGCAGGTAACCGCTACCCCACCAGTCGAAGCCTGACCTAGCGGAAAATATATTTGGACAATTACACGGTGCTGAATCACTTGCCTTGTTTGTATAGTCAAAAATAATTTTTAAAAAAAAATTAAATTTAAAAAAATTAAATTATTTATTAATATTTATTAATATAATAAAAAATAAATAAGAAAATATTTTTTAATATTTAATTATATTATAGAAAATAAATTAAAAAATAACTTATTAATATTTTATTTTTTTCAAGTTTATTAAAATAATAAGAAACAAATCTTACAAATTAAAAGGTTAAAAGAGAATAAAATTAAAAAAATATAATTTATAAATTATTTAAAATAAAATAAATAATAATCAAAATGATAGATATCAAATAAAAAAATAAAAAAAAATAAAAGATGAAAAAATTAAAATAATAATAATTAATATTTCATAAATTATTTCACATAAAATAAGTAACAATCAAAACAATAATAATCAAATTTGATAGATAAAAATTTTTAATAAAAAATGATAAGGAAAGAATAAGTAATAATTATTAAAATAAGGACCA